TTCTTTGTATTTGTAATTATTCTTTGTATTTGTAATTATTCTTTGTATTTGGGATATTTCTTTGTATTTGTAATTATTCTTTGTATTTGTAATTATTCTTTGTATTTGGGATATTTCTTTGTATTTGTAATTATTCTTTGTATTTGTAATTATTCTTTATAATTGTAATTATTCTTTGTATTTGGGATTATTCTTTATAATTGTAATTATTCTTTGTATTTGGGATTATTCTTTATATTTGTAATTATTCTTTGTATTTGGGATTATTTGTCGTTTTTCAGTATTCTAAAAATATCTGAGTATCTTGAAAGAATCCGAAGGAAATTGGTCCAGGTAAAAAAGTAAATAAACAGAGGATCATGGATGGTAAATAATTCCAAATACAGATTCCTTGAATTTCTTTTGATCCAGGTTTTCTGAGATCTTGGATCCCGGGTTCCTTCCTGAGTAACTTGCGGTTAGAAGAATTTTGCTGGACCCCCCACCAGGAGTAATAAAAATTCCTTGTTTCAAGTTTGAAACTAGACAAGGAGAATCCAACACAGGTCATTACAATCAATCCTAGCTCTGCTATCTTGTTTTATCAAAGAAAGTTGGTTCAACCCTTGTAAATCTCTGTAAATTTCAATTGATAGATATAGGTGATAAAACTTCTTAAATCCATCATAAATTTGAGTAAAATCTATGAAAACTTTTATTTAGCCTAATTTACGATTCATAAAAATCAATAAAAAGTTTAAATTCAGAGATAATGAAACTATATTTGAAAATCAGGTTTACATGAAAGTTTCTAAAATTGTAATTTGTGATTACCAGGATGAACTCACGACCTTCCACTCATCAGTATCAGAGAATCATCAAAACATCCATCAACAAAACCTATCTAGGATCCATCTCATACTAAACATACATTCACCCGTCCCAATATTAAACATTGACATAACAGTTAGTTTAATGGTTGGATTGATGATTCTCTCAAGGGAACTTTTTATAGTTTGATGATTGGTTGTAGATTTTGGTAAGGCTTAGATAAGGATTGATTGCTGATAATTGTAAAGAACACATATTGATATAACCCTGGATTAACCAGGGCAAGGTGCGTTCAATTTCTTTAACTTGAATTCAATTCCGTTTTGGTCTAGAATTCAACAACCTGGAAACTTCTGATACTTATTTATTTAAAGCGCATCTTCAGACTAAAAAGTATAAAAGAAAGCGAAAAAGTATGTTTATTTGGTCAATTTGTGATCGAAAGTCACTGGTTGCTGGGACAGGGACCAATCAGCGTGTTATACATATGATACAATGGGGAAGTTTCATGCATCGGTTTAAGAGTAACTGGATAAAATTTTGCACCGTTATTTAATATCTCTTGGTTCAGAGGACAGATACGATTGTAGGAGAACAAGGCAAAGATATGGTTTTACTGACTAGCCTAATTTTAGCTTAGTTGTTGGTTCAGTTTAAAATCAGCATTAAGCTAGGGGAGTATCAGGGATTGATTGATTGATTTATTGAACCCTAGATATCTATGTAACTGTGAATCCATAATCCTGTGTAACCGTGTGCACTACTAATCCTTACCCCAGCTCCTGGTTACAATTGGGTGTTAATCCTTTACCACCTGCCGAATATCAATGGTTCTCACCCCTCCCACTCCCACCCTCTCTCCTCTCCCCCTGCATGCCCCCTTATCGCCCCCTCATGCCGCCTTATACCTCTTAATCCCCCCTTTGACTTTATTTTGTTGAACAAATTCCCAGTCTCCATATTCAAATGAAATCAAGTTTTATTTCTTAAAGTGTACACTGTACACAACTTAATCATCAACGAGATAGTTTTAAAAAAAAACATATATACTAGACTTACAGGGCACTTCGCGACCATCTTCTGTTTCAATTGTAAACATTTTCTCTTTGTATAAAGTGTAAAATATAAAAAATGCGTGGATTTTCAAAATTTAATGACATTCAACATTTTCAAATTTTGATCATTCATAAACCTTCCTTGGAGGTGAAGGGATGTCCCACACAAAATTTGCTCCCGATCCGTTCAGCTGTTTTGGCGTTTATTTGATACAAACAAACAAACAATCAAACAGACAGACAAGCCAAATTTATATATAGATATAGATTGGGTTAGGCTAGGTTAAGATTACACCTGGGCCCAGAGCAGTCGCCACAGATCACAGCAAATTAAAGGAATTGTATCGGACTTCCAGAGTGTAGACCACCAACTAGTTTACAGGTTCAAACTTCAAGAGTTGATTCAATTTTAACGAAGAAAGAGTTTGATAAATGAAGATAATTTATTACCAATTTTAGGAATGATTCTCGGGGCTAGAAAAAGTTGAACCTCTTTTTAAACATTAGAAACAATGCAGCTCCACCCTGGCTTAATGAGCGCTCATTTACACTGGTTTCTCCCCTCATTATTCTCCTGGTTGGGTTGGGAGCCACCCTTTACATGCCACTTAGTTTACATACACGGAGAAAACAGGTTTGTATGAATCAGAGAATCTAGAAGACACAGACAGGTTTTTAAATCTGAATTATTTAGACGCAGCGTACAGCCACCAATCCAATCTAGGCTGGATAGATTACATGAGGTAAATGTAGAACTGGTATCGTCACAAGGGTTTAAAAAAATGCAAAAATGTAAGAGTGGATGATTATGACATAATCAGGATTACTGAATATAAAACTGTTTTGCAGGCTAGGAAGCCATGTACAGACTAATGCATCTAATACAGGTCAA